CAGAAGTACAAAGATAGGGTGGACTTTTTGGTTGGTTGATCAAATGTCTGAATATTCTCATCAAAAACCTAAGGTCTTTCCGTAGTGACTCCTTCTTCATAGCTCTTCTAATGGTTGGATGGTAAGTTCCCCTTTTGTTGTAACGTAGGGGATCTCAAGCAAATTTATGTTGGAATAAGACTCGCTGGCTGGGCGTGGTGGCTTAGGCCAGGCATGGGTGGGTCACGCCTGTAATCTCAGCACTTTGGGAGGCTGAGGTGGGCGATCACCTGAGGTCAGGAGTTCGAGACCAACCTGGCCAACATGGTGAAACCCTGTCTCTACTAAAAATACAAAAATTAGCTGGGCATGGTGGCATGCATCTGTAATCTCAGCTACTCGGGAGGCTAAAGCAGGAGAATCGCTTGAACCTGGGAGGCAGAGGTTACAGTGAGCTGAGATTGTACCACTGCATTCCAGCCTGGGAGACAGAGCGAGACTCCACCTCCAAAAAATAAATAAATTGGTTTTGCCTGGGTTGTGGCTGCCGGAGTCGCCTTTGGGATACACCTGCTCTTCGCTCTTCGCTGCCGTCCGATAATTTCTCTCTCCATAAAGAAAAATGGCATCCATTGCAGTTGATCCACAACCCAGTGTGGTGACTCAGGTGGTCAACCTGCCCTTGGTAAGCTCCACATATGACCTCATGTCCTTGGCCTATGTCAATACAAAGGACCAGTATCCCTACTTGAAGTCTGTGTGTGAGATGGCAGAGAAGGGCATGAAGACCATCACCTCTGTGGCCCTGACCAGTGCTCTGCCCATCATCCAGAAGCTAGAGCCACAAATTGCAATTGCCAATACCTATGCCTGTAAGGGGCTAGACAGGATGGAGGAGAGACTGCCTAATCTGAATCAGCCATCAACTCAGGTTGTTGCCAATGCCAAAGGTGCTGTGACTGGGCCAAAAGATGGTATGACGACTACTGTGACTGGGGCCAAGGATTCCGTGGCCAGCACAATCACAGGGGTGATGGACAAGACCCAAGGGGCAGTGACTGGCAGTGTGGAGAAGACCAAGTCTGTGGTTAGTGGCAGCATTAACACAGTCTTGGGGAGTTGGATGATGCAGCTCATGAGCAGTGGTGTAGAAAATGCACTCAGCAAATCAGAGCTGTTGGTAGAACAGTACCTCCCTCTCACTGAAGAAGAACTAGAAAAAGAAGCAAAAAAAGTTGAAGGATTTGATATGGTTCAGAAGCCAAGTTATTATGTTAGACTGGGATCCCTGTCTACCAAGCTTCACTCCTGCACCTACCAGCAGTCTCTCAGCAGGGCTAAAGAAGCTAAGCAAAAAAACCAAGAGACCATTTCTCAGCTCCATTCTACTGTTCACCTGATTGAATCTGCCAGGAAGAATGTGCATAATACCCATCAGAAAATTCAGGATGCTCAGGATAAACTCTACCTCTCATGGGTGGAGTGGAGAAGGAGCATTGGATATGATGATGCTGATGAGTCCCACTGTGCTGAGCATATCGGGTCATGTACTCTTGCTATTGCCCACAACCTGACTCAGCAGCTCCAGACCACATGCCACACCCTCCTGTCCAACATCCAAGGCTTACCACAGAACATCCAAGATCAGGCCAAGCACATAGGGGTGATGGCCGGTGACATCTACTCAGTGCTCCGCAATGCTGCCTCCTTTAAGGAGGTTTCTGACAGCCTCCTCACTTTTAGAAAGGGGCAGCTACAGAAAATGAAGGAATCTTTAGATGATATGATGGATTATTTTGTTAACAACACGCCCCTCAACTGGCTGGTAGGTCCCTTTTATCCTCAGATGACTGAGTCTCAGAACGCTCAGGACCAAGGTGCAGAGACGGACAAGAGCAACCAAGAGGCCCAGCAATCTGAGCACAAAACTCATTAAACCTGCCCGTGTCACAAATGCATGATGTGGCCAGCCAGGTGACACTTTTTGTTATGTTGAAATTAACCTACTAGACAACACTAAATTGGGAAGCAAGTAGCTAGTAAAAAGGCCCTCAATTATAGTTATTTCCAGCTGAATTAAGAGCTTTAAAGTTTTTGGCATTAGCAGATGAATTCTGTTTACCTGGTAAGAAAAGAATGATAGTCTTGTCAAAGCCTAGCCAGAAGTCACAAAAAATTCAAGTGCACTTATGTTCTCATTTTGTGGCCAGTGTGTTGCCTCTGTTATTGTTTGTATTGAATAAAAACATCTTCATGTGGGCTGGGGTAGAAATAAATAAAATTACGTAAAATGAAATTTTTAAAAAAGTTCTTAAAAGCAATTGCTTTGAACAAACACGATCTCAACTCACTGCAACCTCCGCTTCCCAGGTTCAGGTGGTTCTCCTGCCTCAGCCTCCCAAGTAGCTGGGATTACAGGCATGTGCCACCACGCCCAGCTAATTTTTGTGTTTTTAGTAGAGACAGGGTTTCACCATGTTAGCTAGGCTGGTCTTGAACTCTTGACCTCAGATGATCCACCCACCTTGGCCTCCCAAAGTGCTGGGATTACAGGCATGAACCACGGAGCCCGGACAGAACACCTCTTTATACTTTCCCCCATGGGTCTGCAGGAAAAGGAAGCAATTGAAAATTGTGGGTTAAACAATAGAAAATAGTTTTATAGGCCGGGCGCGGTGGCTCAAGCCTGTAATCCCAGCACTTTGGGAGGCCGAGGCGGGTGGATCAC